TGACTGTGGATCAAGCAGCGCAGTTCTACAACAACGGTCACGGGAAGCAATTGTGCGCATCCCGGGATGTGATCGTGGGCAAGAATTCCGAGGGAGTCGAGGAGAGGATGTCCATCTTCTTGATAGGCAAGGATCTTGGCAATGTGGCATATTCGTCCTGGATCAAGAGTGTGCTCGACCAAGGAACGATGTATGAACACCTGGGACAAACCACGAACGAGGAATCCTTGGGAGACGTCGTCGAGATGGTGTTGGGATTCTTTGAGGTGATGTCGTACTTCCAGCACGAACTGCCACTGTGGAAGGATGCATGGAAGATCAAGAGAGAGTTCGAGCAGTCAATAGTGCGACACCTCGCTGGGAACGTGACCCACACGACGGGCCAGAACAGAAAGCGGAACAAACCGTCCGCACAGCTCGGCGTGCCCACGAAGGAGGTGCTTGACATCATGAACAAGGTCAAGCCCAGACATCCACGATCCCTGATCACCGAGCCCTCTGCACAAGGTTCCAAGAGAAAGGCCATGGAGGGCGAAGATGAGGGTCTTGGTCAAGCACCAGACCCGAGTCGGAGTTCTCAAACCAATGCTGAGAAGGAAGACAAGAAGCAGCGAGTGATCGACGGGCGGAGAGCGGCACTAGGATTCCTGGAGTCAATGGAGAAGTGCATGGGAGATTTGGGGATCTGTAAGAAGTGCGCGAACCTGGCCCACGACGGCGACTGCAAGGACATTGAGGAGGCTGCTGGAAATGAGAAGGCGATGAAGGTGCTCCGTGAGCTACTCAGCAGTGACCCTATTTCATCTGATGAAGACATGGGGGATACGGAGGAACCGTCCTCATCAACGTCCAAGGAAAGAAAGAAAGGGGACAAGCAGGGAAAGAAACAATTGAGATGTACAGCTACACTATTAATTTGGTGGAGATGGCTGACACGGCTGAGGGAGGAGAGCTACAATGTGGTGGCGTCGACCTCACATACAACCCGTGCGGGGACAGCAGGACATTCAAGAAGACGCTTGAGATGGGATGCGACACCATCCCGTGCTACATCCCGAAGTACGGCGATGTGAGTGATGTGCACTTGCCATGGGCGTATGCGTCCATCGTTGACCCCAAATACTTTCCCAAAGGTGCAATCCTTGAGCAAGTGGACGTGATGCAACTTGGCAAGAGTGTCAACTTCTGCATTGCTCCGTTCGACGGTGCTCCACTATGCAGGATTGGTGATGATCGCTCGGTATTTACTACAAGGGACCAAGCAAACCAGCTATCTCACGACCTATGCAGAGTCCTTCGACACAAGATCGGCAATTGCCGAGGAAGTGCTTTCAGGTGCGACGAGGGTGGATGGGTCGACATTGATGCTGTCATTGCCGACCGGAACAACGACATATTCCCACCATACACCACGAGAGCGAAACGATACATGGGCATCATGGAGGTGATCAAGTGGCAGGAATCCGGAAGCAGAAAATCGAGATTCCAGGTTTTGGCAGCAAGGTTTCCGAGCATCATGAACCCGAACTACACGAGGGCAGCCAGGGAGGAAATGACCGAAGCTGGCGTGGATCGGGACGACATCGACAGGATGTTCAACAGATGCGATGGATGGTACAGACCTTGGTGCATCTGAGTCACAACCGGTCACAGTGATTTTGGATTCATGAGCTCATCCGCACTGGCGAATAGGTATTCCGCAAGAATGGGTGATTCTCTCGGAGGAGCATTCCATGTGACGTATGTGGAAAACCTGCCAAGCATCGTACGCTGTGGGTAAGTCCCCGGCGGAATCGATGGCGGCAACAGGCTAGCACTGCACTTCGGGGCGTTTGCTCCATGGGATGAGATGAACGTGGCGACGAAGACAACGCTACGGAACGTGAGTAGAGGGGATCCGATTGCGATCATCTATATTCCCAGTGCAACCCTCGCGCGGTATGGGGCTGGAGTCGCGGCTAATGGGACTTTCATGGTCTTTGACGTGATCCCGTTCTATGAGGTCAAGTCCATTTGGATTGGCAAAAGCAACGGAGGGAAGCGCCTGGAGTACGCTGACATCAAGAGGGCGTACTCGAAATGTGTGGAGAACGAGATCTGCCCTGGCTTTGTCAACTCTTCCCAAGAGTCGGCTGCGATGTTCCTCCAGAACGTCGCAAAGATCAGCGAGAGGATGCCGGAGACTGAGACAGGTGCCGATAATCTGCACTACATCGTTGAAATGGTTAATCGTGCCTGCGAACTCTATCGAATCAACAAGATGGAAGAGTTCAATGCACAGGTCAACGAGGTCCGGGACGAAATCAGCAAAGTCGTCATCCTGAATGACGAGACATGGGAAGGACTGAGGTGTGCGACCGCGATCCCCACCTGCTTCTGCTTATGCCTGGAGTGCGAGGCACAACTGATCTCCATCGGAAGATACTACATTCACATCAAATCCGATGACGAGGAGGACAACCAAAACCCCAACGTCTCTGGAGATGCCAGGCGTGCACAGGAAGAAGCTAAACACGATGCGGCAGCACAGGAGGATGAAGACGAAGCGGAGGAAGTTCCGGGAGAAGATGACGACATGGACACGCAAGGATATACATCCGGCTATGCGTCAGAAGAAGAAGACAGCGGTTGGCATTACCGCGACACCGATCTGGCGTCACGGGACATTATAAGTTCCCAACGGATGGCGATCTGCCTTGACGAGCCGCGTGAGGCTCAGTACATGGCAGGATTTATCGCACTCCAGCTGTCCAAGATGTGGGTGATGTTTGAAGGTGGTGAGGAGAGAACGATGAATGCCGGACTCGAAGGGAATCCGGGCTGCCCTTATCACAATGATTTCAAGAGGTACCCCAACATCACTGAGCATGATCAGGACGGTATACTTTTGCCATCAACAATAACGAAGATTTCTCAATCGGAGAATGTTCGGACAAGAGCCTTCCGATCGGTTGAGGAGCGTGACGAATATATTCGTATGATGGTGTGCAAATGCGAGGGACTTTACACTTTCTACAAGCTGTGGATTGCAGCGAGAATCCTCGATGTCACCAAGGAAGAAATGAAGCTCCTGGTCAAGGACCGAGTGCACCCGGTGGGTGATATTATTTTCAGATGTTTTGCACTAGCTTTCAACTGTAAGTATATATCAATCGTGAGGGATGGCCTAAACCTTGGCAAGAATGGTTACACGGTCAACGTGAGCGCCATCATCTCGGCCATCGACCCGAACAAATGCGACACACCCCTGCTGGATTGGTGCCTTCGGAAAGGGCACTGGTTGCCAGAGGACTACAACAAGAAGTGAGTCCGGGCACGAGAAGCCCAGAAGAACTTGGACGAGGAGTTCCGCCGACGTACCCATAGGCTGTCCATTGGGGACAGGTATGCTTCGTGAAGATGCTGATTGCGGTACGATGTGGGTCAGTCCCCATCTGTTACTTGCGTCACATCGACACTGTTTCGGTGGAACGACTTATGTCATGATTTTTATTCATGTGTCCAAGATGATTGGGTGTGTACATGGTTACATATTCCGATGACTATGACGCTCTGGATATTCATGGATGGAACTATTACCTTATAGATGATATCTTTTCATTATTTATGCATTGTCCATGGTATCTGGAATGGCTATGATTTGCATTGATTACTCACCGATGTTTCTTCGCCGGAATTATGCAGACCGATTGCGAGCAGGCGCCTCTGGTGGACTTTTTTCGGCCAACCCATTTATGGATGACAGCTGCGCGATGCGCAAATGCGGCAGCTGGATTGTTCATTGGTGGTCAAATGACGCGACGATCGTGTATTATATACACCTGCATATGGATGTGTGCTTCGATTGGAGGATGAATGTTTCACTTTTCGTACAATCGAACCCGGCATGTTTCACAGCGAATGAACGGTGTAGTGATAGCAAGTAAAAGAATGCACGACACGATTTCGTAGTTGAAGCCGTGGCCAGTGGAACGTTTTGTGGTGTTTGGACCGCATGATGAACAATGCGACCCAAATGGGGGATGTTAAAACCCTCTAGACCCCGTGCCGAAATTGGGTAGCTGTTCTGAGGTCCTTGTTGGTGTTGCTTCCCAAGTTCCATTGATCGCCATTTGGCTCAAGACACAATTGAGGTTCAAGATCTGATGTGTGACTGCATACCTACGTGATCGGCATTAAGAGCGGAAACAACTGCTTGCGCTGCATTTGTCAGGACCACTGTTGTAACTATCATTCCTTCTCCCTTACCACGTTTACACGGGTTCGGCTATAACGGCATCGTCCGTATACACCTTTCTACGTGGTTGGTATTACAGCTTGAGGGTTCGGTGCATAGCGTCCCACGGGACGTCACCTTGCCGTCTCTTGACATTGTTGTTGTTGTTGTTGTTGTTGTTGTTGTTGTTGTTGTTGTTGTTGTTGTTGTTGTTGTTGTTGTTGTTGTTGTTGTTGTTGTTGTTGTTGTTGTTGTTGTTGTTGTTGTTGTTGTTGTTGTTGTTGTTGTTGTTGTTGTTGTTGTTTGCTGCTGCTGCTGCTACTGCTGCTGCTGTTGGTGTTGTTGTTGTTGTTGTTGGTGGTGGTGGTGGTGGTGTTGGTAAGAGTTATAACGGTAATTACTTATTATTCATTATTGTTTCTTGTGGTGCTTGTTGTGTTGTTGGTTGTTGCTGTTTGTTTGTTGCTGTTGGGTGTTGTTGTTTGTTTTTTACGAGGAGGAGGAGGAGGAGGGGAAGGAGGAGGCGGAGGATGAGGATGAGGATGATGATGAGGTGCGTGATGATAATGGTGATGATGATGATGACGATGATTATGATAGCGATGTGTCCGTGGCGATTGTGGGTTTGGGTTTGGGGTGTTTGTGTCGTTGTTTCGTCGCTGCTGCAGTTGCGGCTGGTGTTGCCGTTGCCCTTGTCACAATCGTGGATGTGGTCCTGATTGTAGGGTCTGAATAGGATGCAGGAGTTAGTGGCATTGGCCAAGCAACTGCATGTGCGCGACAGGAAACAACTTATATTCCCATCTCTGCTGTGCTTCGTGGATGCATCTTGTCAGCACATGGCGGGGAAGGAAATTAATTTGATGCTGGCATGCCGCATCGCAGGCCTGGGCATCAGCGTTGCTGGTGCTGCCACTTTTGCCATGAGCCAACCAGCCAAACAAGCAGTAATGGAGGCGCTGCTTGCCATTGACTGTGATGGAACGTATCGCACAGGTAGTGCAATCCATGGAGAGATCTTCTGCCAAGCTTTTAAGCTTTGCTGTTGCGCAGGTGGTGGCAAAATCGGCTGGGCCAGATGTGCTTGTAGCTTATGTGCAGGACTGCGGGCAATGCTTAGTGTGCTTGGCATCTTTGTGGTGGCCAAGCGTTCGGGTTCAGGACGTGGTGTTCAAGATGGGGGAGTCTTGCTCGTCGAGACGTTTGCAATCTCTCAGACGATTGCAAGAAGACCTGCGCGCTGACTATGCGATGCGCTCGGCAAATCAGCCACAGCTCCAACCATAACGAAGGTTCGGCCGCCCTTGTCTGTCTTTGTCGGAAAGACTCCTCTGATACTAGGTTTCGATTATGGTGGACATCATTTGCGGATTCATGTCCACCAACCACTTAGGTGGTCCCAGCTCTTAAAATTCAATATGCATTACAACTCCCTGTGGATCGAGTCTGGTGCCAAGGTGGTGGTCATTCCACCGACCCCAGACACGGAGTCAGCTGGGGGACCAGAGGCTATTGGCGTGCGCGCGCAGAGCGCGATACAAGCGGCTTCGCTGCAGGAGGCCATTTGCATGGAGCTTGGTGCAGGGTTCCCCATATTTTCCTTTCGATGGCGAAAACAATATCACCTGTTTGGACCTTTGAAAGGGTTTTCCCTTTGGGGTGATGTTTAAAGAGGAAATATAGGAAGCCCTGTTGGTAGGAGTCAAATTCAACCACCAGGATATGGACCACATGCTTTAGTCCTTTCCATTTGCGAGGGCAACGCGTTTTGGGGTTACCCTATTTTTGAACCCACCGCCATTGTAAGATCAAAAGTGAGATGAGTCACACTCGATTCCCGAGCAGATGAAGGTTAGTAAGGGACAGTTCCAACCAGGAATACCATGGTTCTGGGTAGACTATTTAATGCCAGATTTTGATTGCGACTCTGAACATTATTCAAAAGTGAGGCTTTGAGGTTTTGTTGGCTCGTGTGTGACGCTGGTTCTTGTGCATAAACACGCTCAGACGCACGTTGTGCAAGTGCGAGTGCCCGAAGGCGACAGACTGGCTGAACCAGGAGCTGCAGCGCTTGAGCTTTCAAAACTTCACGGTGGGCAGGGTGGGTGGGTGGAAGGGGGGCAGCGATGTTAAACTGTGGAAGAATATGGAGGACCACACCAAGCAGAAGAATCCCCCTCCCCACTGAAAGGCGAATCGTCCCTGATAGTATAGTCTCCGTTTCTTTTTTTCTCCCCGAAGTTGACACTACCATGACATGTGTGTGCGCGAGTGCGCCTGCCTGTGTGTGTGTGTGTGCATGCGTGCGTGCGTGCACGCGTGCGTGCGAGCGTGCGTGGGATGGTGCCTGGGATGGTGAGTGGGATGGTGAGTGGGTGGGTGGGTGGGTGGGTGGGTGGGTGGGTGGGTGGGTGGGTGGGTGAGTGGGTGGGTGGGTGGGTGGGTGGGTGGGTGGGTATGTGTGTATGTATGTAATGTAATGTAATGTAATGTAATGCAATGCAATGCAATGCAATGCAATGCAATGCAATGTAATGTAATGTCATGTAATGTATGTATGTATGTAATGTAATGTAATGTAATGTAATGTAATGTAATGTAATGTAATGTAATGTAATGCAATGTAATGTATTTGGCTCAAGACACAATTGAGGTTCAAGATCTGATGTGTGACTGCATACCTACGTGATCGGCATTAAGAGCGAAAACACCTGCTTGCGCTGCATTTGTCAGGACCACTGTTGTAACTATCATTCCTTCTCCCTTACAACGTTTACACGGGTTCGGCTATAACGGCATCGTCCGTATACACCTTTCTACGTGGTTGGTATTAAAGCTTGAGGGTTCGGTGCACAGCGTCCCACGGGACGTCACCTTGCCGTCTCTTGACACCACTGAGGGGCATCTTGGGCACTCGCTCTGTCGGGAAGCCCGCGATGAAGCTGTGGCGCAGGTAGCCAGCGCGGTCGATGTCGATGTTGCGCACCGTGTCATCGTAGGTCCCCGCAAGGACCGAGAGGAAGTGGAAGTGTTCCGAGGCTCCCTTCATAGGGTTGTGCGGGTACTGCAGGCTGCCCAGCTGCATCTGCGACTCCAGGAGACTGTCTTCCTGCCTGGCCGCACTGATGGGGGCCACGTCCTGCCCCGGGTTGGCCAGCAGGTGGATCTTAGAGCCCGCGTCGTTGTCCCCAAAAGTCACGAACGCTCCCATGAGTTTCGTGAAGGCGCGCGCCACGGTGACGTTGTGCTCCGCCACGCCCAGAGGCACCGTGGACTGCTGCGTGTGCACCGTGGGGTAGCTGAACACGAGCGACCTTCCAGAGAGGAGCACCCGGTTGAAGGACTCTACCAGCGCAGAGTCCAGGACGACCTGGGAGGCCAGAACTCGGACGTTCTGGATCTCGAAGTCGGTGCTCAGCGTGGCTCCCGCCGGGTGCGCCCCGGCGTTCTCGGACCACAGCGCTGTCGTCGCGTCCGCGAACTCGATCTCTAACACCAGGTTCAGCTGCGGCGGCAGCATCTTCCCGCAGCGCAGGATGCCCACCATGGTGGGGCGCAGCAGCACGTCCGCGTAGCCGATCTGGTGCACCGCGCGGGGCGTCCGAGAGTTGTTCACCTCGTCGAAGCCCTCCACGGCCTTGTTCTGGTTGTACTCGCGGCCCTTCAGCAGGTCATGCACGGCCACGGTGCGGCCGTAGTAGTTAATGTCGTCGCAGCGCTGGCCGTTGGCGAAGACCTGGATCCTCTGGATGAAACAGGCGGGGTTCGGAGTGGCAGGCGCCAGCGGGTTGGTGGCGTCCGTGTTTCTGACTCTGAAGGCGATCTTGATCGACTCGGGGTCGATGAACGAGGTACCGCTGGTCAGCGGAATGCGGCAGACCCTCGAGGTGGCTGGGGAGAAGGAGCTCAGCGAGCTTGGGAAATACTGCACGTCGTGCCGTGCTGTCACGTAGTTGGTGTTGCTGGTTTTCAGCTTGTAGTCCAGGCTCTGCATCAACTCATCCTGTGCTCCGGCTGTGACTACCTCCATGCTTCTTTACATGTAGCGCAACACTCATTTTCGCTCGTACGGCGAAGGAGAGTCTAGGCCGCCTCGATGTGGGCCAGCTGGTCGTAGCTCGGCGGAGGCAGGCGGCTCTGGCGCGACTGCCCCGAGCTGCGGGAGCTTGCCCGGGAGAAGTGCTGAGGCTGCGTGGCGTCGTTCATACCGTTGGCGGGCCGGACGTCCTGCACGGCCGCGTCCTCGCTGCCCTGCTGAGGCCGGAAGAGCGTGTTCTCCAGCACCCAGCCCGTGCCGCGGGCCAGGCCGTAGGCTGCGCCGCCTGCGAGTCCCACGGCCAACCCTGCCGTTGCCGCCGCTCCAACTCCTTCCGTGGCAGCCATCGCTCCAGCAACCTCTCCCGCTGTGGGCGCCAAAGCAGCGGCCCCTTCTGCCAGGCCCCCCAGGTACCCAAAGGCTCCGCCCACGCCCTCGGCGGCAACGGCAACCTCTCCCTCCTCTGCGGCCACAGCTGCCGTCTCCTCTAAGTTCGGCTGGGACTGGGGCAGGCAGAGTCACAGGGTTCAGGCCCCAGGAGAAGGGGCGGGGCGTGTGATTGGTCTGCGCCTGGACTCTGAAGCCAGACTGGGAGGCGCGGCTGCTTGCGGGGCTGCCCGAAGTGTGGCGGCTGCGGCTGCGGCCCTGGGCGGGGCAACACGTTTGGGCGGACGTACTCAGCTGCGTCCTGGGGGAGCTGGGAGCGGAAGGCCTGCACAGCCGCGAGCCCTGCTGCTCCTGCGCCCACAAGGTCCGCTGCTGCCTGCGCTCCGTCGGCCGCGCTGCGCAGACGGCCCGTATGGAGGGCGGGCCCTGTCCGTTGTTCGTCAGCGCGTCGGCCTCGGGGTCTCCAGCCAGGTCGTCCTCGCCGAAGCGGTTTCCTCCGCCTTGGCGCATCCGGGCCAAGTCCTCGTCCGTGGCCTCGGCGGGAGTGCGGAAGCCTTCCTCAGGACTCAGGTCCCTCAGCTGCGCTTCGCGCGCGCCGAGCGCAGGGGCGTCGAACGTGCAGCGGGCGAAGTTGCCGCGCAGTAACCCTCAAAGAGATGAAGACGCTTCGGGCCCACGGCTTCAGCCATTCGAGCAGGTGGTGGGCTACCTGGAGCGGAATGAGCCGCTGCCCCTGGAGCCGGACCGCAAGGCCACCACGTTCATCACGAGCCACTTCGACCTGGACGACTTCGTGCAGTCCAGCGAGGACCCCAACCCGCAGCCTCTGCAGCATACTCCTGGGCTAGCCGGCGCTCGCCAAGCCAGTTGTTGAAGGCCCGCGCCTCCTCCAGCTCTCGCTGGCGCTTCAGCAGCAGCGGCTGCAGGTCGTAGCTCGGATACGTCTTTCAGAACCACCGGAGCATCTGCGGCTCGTTGCGGGGTTCCAGGGTCATCATGGTTTTTACACTGGGACGCTTGCGCCCGCCGTCAGCCGGTCGTACGCCGACTGCCTCTCCAGCATGCGCATGGCGCGCTCGCTCGGCCGAGGCGCTCCACAGGCTCGGGCCCTACCTCTCTGTGTACCTCGGGCTCGGGCTGTACCTCGGGCTCTAGCGGTGCCTCGGGCTCTAACTGTGGCTTCCCTGTCGATCCCTGGCCGTCGTCCAGGTAGCTGGCGAACTCCGTGAACGGCCCGCGGCCCACCACCGGCTCGCCCACCAGACGGTACTGGAAGATGGCAGCGTCCCAGTCGTTGTGGGTCTCGTAGATGATCTTCCGGAATGCGGGGTGGTTGTGAGAGCAGGTCTCCAGCCGCGGGGAGGCACATGACGGGTGCGGGGCCCCGGGGGCCGTGACGGCCTCCTGATCCTTCAAGGCCTGCGTCGCCTCCAGTACGGCCCTGGCGAGCTCCGGGCACCAGGATCCGAGAGCTGCCGGAGGAGCACGAGGTGCGGGTGCGAGGCGCTGGGGCAGGAGTACAGGGGCCAGCGCCTGGCCGGCTTGGCGCACGAGATCTTCCTGAAGCTGCTGAAGGCGAAGCGGGAAGTGCCCGGCGCGGCGGAGAGGCAGAAGACCCTGGCCGCGCAGGACGGCAAGTGCGCGCTGTGCGGCTGCGGGCTGACGGCCGGCACCTGCGAGCTGGACCACGTGGTGCCGGTGAGGCAGGCCTTTGCGGGCAGCGTGCAGACTTTGCAGGCGCTGTGCGGCGACTGCCACAGCGAGAAGACGCTGAGAGAGAGCGCGCAGCCCACCAGCCTGGAGAGCCGCGTGGCGCCCGGCGTCATGGAGTACGTCCGGAGCCCCAAGCTGCCTCCTCTGGTTTTTGAGGCGCAGACGTGCGCAAAGGACAGCACGTACGTCGGCGTGGACGTGGTGCGCTGCAGGCGCAACGGGCTGGCCAACGCCCCCTTCCCCCTGCCCATCCTGTGCCCGGCGGACGGCGTTGAGCCCGTGGACGGCGCGCTGCCGGACCTGGGCTTTGTGGAGGGCTGCTGCGACGCGAGGCAGTCCTGCCTGAACCTGTTGCCGTACGTGGGGCCCGGCTG